CCAGACATGGTCCCTTGCCTTAGCTCACCTGGCACAGAGAAGGCAGCCGGGCGTGTGGCAGGAAAGGAAATGAGATTGCTTGAGTGGGCTGGAGACACCTGCTGGGGCCTTCCCACTCTCTGCCTGCACTCTCTTCACCCTCTTCACCTACAGGAAGCCGGAGGAGGGCCGCATATGCAGCTTTCTTGCCTAGAGAAAGAAGTTTACGAACAGCCACTCCTGGGTCTCAGCCTCTGCAGCCTTCCCTGGGAGTCATGAGCCTATGCATTGGCCCCAAAGGGCGGGCTAGGAGCTTTCACTAGCTCTTCGGGGAAGGGGAGCTGTGGTTGGGTGCCCCTGCCCGCACAGCTGCGTTGTACCTGAACTTCCACATTCAGCATGGCCCTGAGAAACTCATTTCAACTCTCAACCTCCTCCCTCAGCAAATATTTGCCTGAGGCATTATCAGGGAAGGAGCCGGTTTGCCCCAGGACCTGTTTGTACAGCGCGGTGGAAGGAGGCAGGCCTGAAGGAGCCGCTGCTGCTTCACCTCCTTCCCTGCTCTGAGCCTCGGCTTCCCCTTTAGCAGCCATCTCTAACAGAAGCTGCCAAGGAGGCCTCAAAACAGCGAACGTGACCCCTGCTCCCAGCTGAAACCCTCCAGCCCATTGACCTCGCACATCAGAATCGCCTGCGGAGCTCTGGCCCCAGCACAACCCGATGAGCAGCAGCAGTTCTGTGCGTGGCCCGGCTGAGCCAGTGTGTAGTCACCAGAGCTCTGATGGGCGGTTGGGCTACGAGGCCCAGGCCTACAGGATCGACTCCGGGAGGGCTGGCTGCAGGGCATTTCCTGCTCTTCCCTTCTCGCCCCTCCAGCCCACCTCCATGTTGGGCCCCCACTGTCCATCTCAACTTCTCGTTTGCCAAAGTGCCTGTCTTCGTGCCTCTGTTCCTTTGCTGTCTCAGCCTGCAGCACTGTCTCCTCCAGGAGCACCCCCAGCGTGACGAAGGCCTCCCTGACATATTGCAAAGATCACCCCAACACTCACTGTGCATCCCCCAGCTCAGGACAGGCCAGGCTCTGTACTGGACCTGGGGCTGCATGTGAGGGGCCGTCAGTCTGTCTGCTGAGCACAGTGGTCCACCTCACAACGCCTCATCCAACCTAGACTTCGAGGACAAGAGAGACACTTCGACAGAGCCATTCCATGACACGCCCATCTGGGTCACTTGCCTGCCTCACCACAAACCTTGTGGTTTTCAGGAAACCTAATTCCACCCAGGGCCAGACTCGCTAGAGACCTTTCCCACCTGCCCAGCCTGCCCATGCCCCTGCATCCCGGAGGCTTCAGTAGAACGTGGGTCCCGGGTCTTTCTCCTCACTCCTGTCCATGCCTTGGTCTGCGAGGCAGGGCCTCCTGAGGAGTGGCTACCTAGGCTCCCTTCATCTCTCGGCGTTTGCTCTTTACCCTGAGTACCGCGTAGGAAACTTGTAAATCGAGTTCTTCATCAGGCCTCTAGCACCCAGATGTCTGGGTTTGTCAGACTAGCCCGCACAGAGGGGTTGGGGCCATGGGTGGCCTGGAGCCTGCATGGGCAGGCCCGGGGTGAGGTCAAAGTGCCACGATATCCATCGTCCTGACCATGCCCTCTCCCTGTGCCGGAACACTAGCTGAAAAATAAGTACAGGCAGCTTCAGCTGGGAGCATATTTGCTGAGGGAAGAAGACCTTCCCTTTTGCCAACTAGCCTTGTTTGAAACCTCCATTCTGGAGCCCACAGCAGCCCTCCTGGTCCAGCCCTCAATGCTGTGGGTGCTGGGAAAACAGCAGGGTCTGCCCGGATTCCAGCCCCTCGCCTGCTGCTGACTTGCTCATGCTCCATGTTGCCCCAGGACTTCACAGCATCACGCTGCTGGAAAGGAGACCCTGGAACCAGTGACCTCAGTGAGGGGGAACCAAAATGACCTCAGCCTGGTCACGGACAGGAGGAAGTTTTTTGCATGATGCAATTTACAATCTCCTTTAGGGAAGAAACTATCTTTCTAGGTAAATATAATGTCTGTTCAATTCTGACTAGAGTGAAGATCTGGTCTGGGAGATTAGTCACCCACACGGAGCCAGCCAGATGACAAAGATCAGGCAGCTAGTGATCCTGAAGCAGGAATTTTCTCCATGTTCTAACGATGATCTAACCTCTGGTTTTTGTTTTGTTTATCCCTCCAAATATCTCTACCAAGACAGAAGCCTTTGACTGAAAAGTGTTAAATAAAAGTGATAGGAAACCCCTTTAAAAAAGTCATTGCCAGAGGACTGACGTGCTCACCAGAGAGCGAGAGGATCTCCCGATGGGCCTTGGTCAGTCCACAACCCCAGCTCCTCCATTTCTCCATCCCGCCTGGGCTCGGTGCATGCACACGCAGATGCACTGTGTAGTTTACAGGCCTCCACTCTGAGGTTCCCTGTGCTGAGCCGTGTGAGACCCAGCCCCCTTACGCAGTGGGCGACAGGCTGGCCCTAGGAAGTCCTCTGAGGATGAAGCAAACTCGACAACGAGGTCATCTGCTCCCCTTACCACAGAATTTAGCCAGTCACTGCTGTACAAGGCTCCTTGCTCCCTCCAGGCCCCATTCATGACTTTTGCCTTTAAAATCATCCTAAAATATGGGGGCCAGCAGGTGGTGTAGTGATTAGGGCAGTGGGCCAACTGTGGTTCAAGTCCTGGACCCGGCAGCTTGATAAATCATGACGGGCACATGTATGTCCCCAAAATCCCGAGAGCAGACTGGAAGAGAAGACTGCAGAGTGACTAGCCACCCCAGGGGGTGCTCTCTCACTTTCCCTCGGGTCTTTGTGTCTCTCTGGTGGTGCATGCATGTGAGCTTTGGCAAAAACCTTAAAAAAGTCATCCTGAAATACTAAGCTCTTGGCACACATTACCCAGAGCAGCTTGGATAGTGGGTACCTGGGTGATCTTCCTAATCTTCACTTGCCTTGCCCCAGCCTTCCTTTTTATAGGTTGAGGAAAGCATCCTTTATTTTCAGCAGGTGGGAAATGTCAGTTTGAGAGTGCCTGCAATGGATCAGCTCTGTGAGTGGGTCAGCCCCGTGCAGGCGCTGCCTCGGGCCTCTCCTGATGCAGGCAGCCCTGCCCGGCCCAAGTAAGGCTGTTGCTGCGCTGGAAATCAAACTCAGCTGCAGTAGTCACCACCCTTTTCACAACGCTCCAGAATAAAGTCTTCCTCACCATTTAAAAACGGGGACCAGCAGTTAGCGTAATGGCTATGTCGTTGGACTCCCATGTAGTTGACTGCGGTTCGCGTCCTGGACCCAGCGGCTTAAACTCATGCCCTGCGCCTGAGGCTGTCT